AAGTATGAGAACTTGATTCTAGATCTATAGAACCCAGGTGAAAAGCTGGGTGTGTGTGGTGCCCTGCTTGCAATTCCAGTGTTTTGAAAGGTGGAGACTGGGTCTCAGGAGTCAGCTGGCTAGCTATCACAGTGTGTGAGCTCTGGGCTCAGGGAGAGACCCTGACTCTGTTAATAAAGTGTAAAATAAGGGAAGACATTAGACTTCAACCTCTGGTCTATACACACACACACACACACACACACACACACACACACACACACACACACACACCTGCATATCTCTACATATACATGCAACTCTCCCCCAACACACATGCAAAGAAAAGAGAAAAAAGAATGTTTAGAACAAATGGCAGGTCATAGAACATAAACTCATGTTTGTCTTTTTGGGGCTGGAAGACTTTGGGGAAAGTAATAACTTCTCTTTTAGTCAACAGTGGGACCAATCTACATCTAGATGGATTACTAAATGAAGCACTTAAACAGTACCTGGCACCCAGGCAATGCAATATATAAAAAATTAAAACCTATTGTTGGGTTGGGGAGATGGCTCAGTGATTAAAAGTGCTTGCGACCCACGTGTGAGGACCTGAGATCAAATCTCCAGCACCCATGTGAGAAGTCAGGCTATGCATGCATCTGTAACCCCATATCTGTGGGTAGCAAGAGAATGCAGGGTCTGTGCAGCTTGCTAGTCCTCAGGCTAGCCTCAGATCCACCGAGAGAGCCCATCTCAAGAGAAGAAGGTGGATAGTGATAGAACAGGATACCTGACATTGCTCCTCTGGCCTCCTTGGACCTGCATATGCATGCATGCATATACCACATGTGTGCATGCACACAACACACCCTATTGTGATGAAAACTGTTTCCTTCCTTCTCTCTCTCTCTCTCTCCCTCCCTCCTCCTTCTCTCCCTCTCCCTTTCTTTTTCTGTTGTTGTTAACTTGACATAAGCTAGAATTTTCTGGGAAGAGAGGACCTCTATCAGATTGCCTATAGGCATGTCTGTAGGGCATTTTCTTAATTAGTGATTGATGTGGGGGGGGGGACCCAGCTTTTTAGGAGTGGTACCATCTCTGGGTAGGTGGTCCTGGGTTGTATAAGAAAGCAGAGTGATAGAGTTTTAATGAACTTTTCTCATCTGAACTGAAAGTGCTCCCTCCAAGAGCCAAAGACTACCTAACAAAAAGCCAGTTCCAGATATGAGAATCCTTTTTTTGAGTTGTTGGCCAGGCTGTCCAAGAGACTCTCCAAACATACAGTCTATTACTGTTGCCCTGGGTTACCCCTGAGAGATGGAAGGTAAGTCTTTGTTGCTGAACACACAATGCATTTCATCAACAGCCCAGAGACCCTTAGCTGGAACTAACTTGAATGCCTCCTCCTTCATGACTAGTTTTTGTGGTACCAGAAGGCACTATGCAAACTTCATGCCCTGACTTCCTTCAAGTATGGGCTGTGTGGTGGTCTGAATGAAAATGGCCCCCATAGACTCATAGGTAGTGGCATTATTGGAGATGTGGCCTTGTTGGAGTAGGTATTGGCTTGTTGGAGGAGATGTGTCACTGAAGGCTGGGTTTTGAGATTTCAGAAGCTCAAGCCAGGCCTAGTGATTCATTGTCTTTTCCTGCTGCCTGCAAAACCAGATGTAGAATTTTCAGCTTCTTCTCCAGCACCATGTCTCCTGCATGCCACCTTGCTTCCCACTGTGATGATAATGGACTAAACCCCTGAACTGTAAGCCAGCCCCAATTAAATATTTTCCTTTATAAGAGTAGCCATGGTCATGATGTCTCTTCACAGCAACAGAAACTCTGACTAAGATGGACTGTGATGTGGAAATAAATCCTTTCTTCCCCAAGTTGCTTCTGGTCATGGTGTTTTATCACAGCAGTAGAAAGAAAACTAAGCCAGGGGCTATCTAACGACTTAATTGGAAATAGTGTAAAAGTAAAACACTCGATTGGGCATGTCTGAGACAACGCCAAGAAGAGGGTAGTCAAAACAGTGAGGCACTGAGGCAGGCATCCGTGGAGGAGTAACAACCTGAGGCTGAGCCATGAGTCCAGGACTGAGAAGGAATGGAGTCAGAACCAGGCTCGGAGAAGCGGAGGGCAGTGCTCAGACTCCATGCAGGCAGGCGCTTCCATCTCTGCTCTAAGTGTCAGATGGGTTTTAGAGGAAGGTTTCTGTGGGCATGACAGCATGGTATTGAGACAGTTGGCCTTCTCGGGAGAGCATTGTTGGCAGAACAGCATCATGACAGTGTGATGGGGTCCTGAAGGGGGAGAAAGAGTCTTCAGTCACATAGGGCAAAGGAAATCCTTGCTGTTACTGGTTTCTCGGAGGGAGAAGGTTCTACCTCATGTGACTGAGTCTGCATGCTAAGAGTCAGAAAGGCAGAAAAGGGGCGTCAGGTGTTAGGAAGACACTAGATGTCAGCAGGGTCTGGGCTTGTCTGCAGTGGTGGAGATGGGGAAGGACCTCAGAGTCACAGCAGGCATTGTTCGTTAACTGTGTCTGGAAAGATGACGCAGGGCTGTGTGGCTACATCTCTTCAGACTGCAGCTTCTGGCCCCTTAGAGTGACAACTTCTGTAAGGCCCGTAGCCTAACAATGAGCCCACTGTCTACAACAGTGCCTGGAAAACGATAGATACTCTAAGTATTTGTCATGAATGGATGCAGCGTCGAGTGCACCAATGGACATTTGTCCCTGGTGTGAAGGAACTGGATTAGGAGAGGCAACTGTTTGAGGAAGGCAACCTCAAAGCCTTCGGGAACTCCTACAGTAAGCAACCTGGCTTCTCTGAGGTTTTTGTAAGAAAATCTTGCCTTTAGATGATAGAAGAAACTCAAGGCAGATTAAAAGCTAAGTGGAAATGAGGAGTGCCTTGAAGGCCCAGAGTTATTGAGCAAGGATAAGGAACGCTGAGGAACAAACAGCAATCCATGCTATTCTGTCTTAGGCTGTCTGTCCTTCCATTTGGTTACCTTTTGCCTAGCTGGGATAGTTAGTTACTATTGTCACCTTGACAGGATGGAAGATGAACCTCTTGGTGTGCCTGTGACTGTTTCTAGAGGATGTTAACTGAAGTGAGAAAACTCACACACCCTGAATGTGGGTGGTACCATGTCATGGGCTGGAGTCCTGGACTAAATAAAAAGGAGGAAGTGAGAGCTGAGCCCCAGTATTCATCTCCTGCTTCCTGACTATGGCTGCCATGTGACCTGCTGCCTCACGCTCCTGCTGTCATAACTCACCACCATGATGGACTGTATCCCCAAACTGTGAGACAAATAACCCTTCCTTCCTTAAGTGGCATTTGTCTCACAGTCGTGGGAAAGGTGACTACTACTCGGCCCATCTACACTGCTATGGAGAAAACGATGGTTGCCTGATTTCTGCTCAATTGTGGAAAGAGTGAAGGTGTAATCAGTGAGCTCAAGGCACAGCCAAGGACTCCGTTAGCCTTGAAGAACTCTTACCAGCTACAATCATTCAGTTCAGAGATCGGATAGTTACTAAAGCAAGTTAGAGAGAGCGGCCTAAAAGACCTCTGTAAGGGTCTTTTCTAGCATGTTCTCTGGTTCCATGTGGACCCAAATTTCTTGGGAAGAGGTGAATGTGAAGACTGCTTTTAAAAATTCAAGACTTGATGAATGGATGCGAGAAGTGATGGAAGAGAGAATGAAGTCTAAATACCCAGAAGAAACAGCTCAAAACTTTTCTTCTTGGGTATAAGAAGAAGGGAGGTGTACGTTTTTGGCTTACTTGTAGTTACTTTCTCTCTCTCTCTCTCTCTCTCTCTCTCTCTCTCTCTGTGTGTGTGTGTGTGTGTGTGTGTGTGTGTGTACATATGTGTGGATATTTAGTTGCTTATTGTGAGTTTCAATGAGCATGGGATATGATGACAAAGATGTATAGATGTGCTGGTCTGGGTAGAGGAGCATGTATTTGCCTGTGTATGTGTGTGCATATAAGTGAGACTTTCTAAAAAGAGCTCTTGAGCTGAGGAGATGGTTCAGTATGTCAAAGCATTTGCTGTGCAATCATGAGGACGTGACTTCGAATCCCAGCAACCAAAGCTGAGGGCACATCTATAACCTGAGGACTGTGGGGCCTGAGACAAGAGGATGTCTGGGGCTTGCTGGCTACTAGACTAGATTCTGGTTCAGTGAGACCCTGTCTCAGGTGAATAAGGAAGAGAATGAGAGAGCAGGGCACCTGACATCCTCTTCTTCCCTCCACTGGATATGCATGGGTATACATACCAGTACATACATGTATACATATGCCACACACATAATACAGCACATGCATGTATGTGTACACACACACACACACACACACACACACACACACACACACACACACACACAGGTCTTGAAGGTCAAATGCTGTTGAAGTTCTTAGAGAGCCTCCCGCTGGGTTTCCATGGAAACCAGAGAGGCCAGCTCTGAGACAAATGGCAGGAAACTGAAGAAAAGGGTAGACAGCCTCATAAGTATCTTTTTATAATCTGGCCTTTCTAATACATCCACGAGGACAAGCAGGCTAAAGAGTGATCAAAATACTCAGATATGTTTTATGTTTTTAGTAAAAGGTGGAGGGTGGTCACTCTGTTTTTGTTTTATGTGGCTTTCACATGGAATCGATGTTATCCCTAGGATTTTCCCTTTGATTTCTTACTTTGCTGTGGTCTATGTACCAACCAGTTCTTGTTAAATATTTATGGACAAGATTAAAGACTTTATAAAACTTAGCAGCTGGCAGCTGTCCTCGCCGAAAGAATAAGGCAGAGAGTTTTCATTTTAATTGGATAACCGTGTGACCGAAATATCTAACCCCAAGGGAAATACAAGAATTAAAATATGTAAAGCAATTTAAAAAAGAGAAAGTGGCCTTTTACGTCTTGTCGCCCCGATTTCCTTTGGTGGTTTTGTGTGAAGGTGAAATGACAGTGCTTTTTTTTTTTTTTTTTTTTTTTAAATAGCTTCTAGGCCTCAGCACACCTCCTTGTAGCATGCGAATGGAAAGCACACTGTGCAGGTACCAGGAGTGACTTGCTGTTCATCCTTCTAGGAAGCATCATCACAGCAAACTCATGACTGAGTAAACTAAAATGTGGAGAAGGTGAGGATTTTCCCAAACCTCTTGATATTGACATTGATTAAAACAAAAAGGTGTTGAAAAAAGGGTCTTTTCTTTTTCATCCTCTTTTCTTTTTTCTTTTTTTTTTTTTTTTGTTTCTCGAGACAGGGTTTCTCTGTGTAGCTTTGCGCCTTTTCCTGGAACTCACTTGGTAGCCCAGACTGGCCTTGAACTCACAGAGATCCGCCTGGCTCTGCCTCCCGAGTGCTGGGATTAAAGGCGTGCGCCACCACCGCCTGGCTTCATCCTCTTTTCTATATCTCTTTTCTCTCCCTTCCTCCTCCCTTTCTTCTCTTTCCTCCCTCTCCTTCTTCCTCCCTTCTTTTCCTCCCTCTCTCCCTCCCTCCCATTCTGTGGGATTTGATTGAGAGAAGCCCCTATAAGCTCATATATTTGAATGCTTTTTCTTAAGTTGCTGGAATTTTTCTGGAAGTAAGAGGTTGTGCCCTGGTTGGAGGATGTGTGTCACTGGGGGTTGGCTTTGAGGTTTAAAAATCCCATGCTATTTCCAGTTACTGTGGCTCTCTCTTCCTGTGGTATTGTTTCAACATGTAAACTCTCAGCTACTGCTCCAGTGCCAATGCCTGCCTGCCTGCTGCCAGGCTGCCCCCCATGATGATCATGGACTAACTCTCTGGAACTGTAAGCAAGCCCCAACAAAATGTTTTCTTTTCTAAGTTGCTTTGTCATGGCAATAGAAAGTAACTAAGACACTGTCTCCCCCTCCATCATCCCTCCCTCCTTCCTTTCTTTCCTCTCTCCCTGTGATTCCCCATTCCTTCCCTTTTCTCTCCTTTTTTCTTCTATTTCTTTCCTTCCTCCCTCCCCTTCTCTCTTTCTTCCTCCCTCTTTTCTGAGTCAGCAATAGTTACACTCTTTGATGTTGATCTGAGAATTCCCACTGATCATGAACAAGTCAACATTCCTTCTGTAGGTGCAAGATTCTGTTAAAGCCTATGATCAGGTCAGGGTTGGCAAGCAAAACACCACATCCAAATCCTATTAAGTACCTATTTTGTGAAGCCATGAGAATGAAAATTGCCTTCTGAAACATTAATGGTGTGCTAGGAGTCTATGAAGACAGAGTATTTCTGACATGTACACTACACAAGATCAGGAAGTCAATGTGTGAAAAATCATGTTGCAGCACAGGATGGCCTCTTTGTTTAGGTCCTGTTTATGATTGTTTTCACACCACAGTGACAAAGTTGAGTTCCTGTGATAGGGACTGTGCCCATAAATACTGCAGTAGTTCTTATTTAGTATTTATTTTTGCAGAAGATTGCCAATCTCTATCTAAACAATTGAAATTGATGGAAAAGAGCCCATCAGTGTGTTTTCCTTTGTTCACTGGAATGGTTACCTTCTTAATAATAGTACTGATTGTGTTTGGACAAAATTCTTACTAAGTTTTTGATGTTATTTATTTATTTAATTTTGGATGTCTGTATGTGTCTGTGTGTATGTGTGTATGTGTGTGTGTGTGTGTGTGTGTGTGTGTGTGTGTGTGTGCACAAGTACATTTGTCCACATGTTTGTGGAGGCTGGAGGTCAACCTTGGGTGTTATTTCTTAGTTGCCCTCTACTTTAGTTTTGAACAGGGTCTCTCACTGGACTGGAACTCACTGATTTGGCTAGAGTATCAGGCCAGGGAGGCTCAGGGGTCTACCTGTTTCTGCTTTTCCAGAGCTGTGGTTACAAATGTGTGTCATCACATGGGTTCTGGGGACAGAACTCAGGTAACTGTACTTTTAAAGCAAGATTTTTATCAACTGAACCATTTCACCAGTCCCAATTTTTGCATTATTATTAAAGAAGAAAAAGGCGACTTTCTCTAAACACACAAGAAAGCTGCACAGGCTACTTTCTCTGGGTAATTTTTCTTCTCTTAGCTTCACATATGTGGTTATCTACAGTTCCAGAGGAATGGGGTAGCCATAATATAATGTGTAGACCAAAGAGTCCAGGTTTATCTACTCTTGTTGCATTGGGCTGTGATGATTTGAACATGTCACTGATGTTCAAGTTCATTAATTCTTAGAGCAAAGATGTTGAAAAGTGGGATGTCTGCATGCCAATTTATCCCTGCAGAGACCTTGATGGCCTGGGACTGTTATCACAGGACTGAGGTTCTTACCATGGGCATGGATTCTTCTACTCTCTCTTGCAAATACTCTTTTGCCCTCTACTCGTCCATTTATAGAATGATGATCAAGGAGGCCTTCACCAAAGACAGGCTTTTGACTTTGGACTTTGTAGCCACCAAAGCTATAATAGTAAGTCTCTATTCTTTATGGAACTACCCCATCTCAGGCGTTGTTTGAACAGCACAAAACAGACAGACATGTTGAGATGAGCTCTCTAATATTGACAGATCTCCAAACCGCGTACTGGAGAAATCTTTTGACTGGCTTGAAAAGCAAACAAAGTTAATTATTGGCAAAACAGTGGAAGAACTAAGAATTATTGATCCCTTCTGTTGTCAGGCCCAGGGAAATTTATTTATTCCTTTTGAAAACCAGAGATGGAGAAAGAGACAACTGGTAGGTAGAGGAGGATGGTTCTGAGCTTGGTTCTGTTGGAATTCAAACCTCATGCGTATATGTGTTCATATGTGTATGGATGAACAGTCACATGCAGAAGCATGTGTAATGTGAACATATGCATGAAGGGGTCATTACTTAAGAACCAGTCACGCTGTTTTTTGATGCAGAGTTTCTCACCTGTACCTTGGATTCTCCAAGCAGGCTAGGCTGGCTGGTCAGTGAGCTGGGGGGGGGGGGGTCCACTTTGCAAGGCCTCCCTAGATCTGGAATTATAAACATGCACCATCACGTTTGGCTTTTTGCATGGGTAGAACTCAAGTTTTCATGGTTGCCCTTCAAGCACTTCACTGACTGAACCATCTTCCCAGTCAAAGCTCATGTTTTCACCAAAACAATTTAATATTTGCAAGGAAAACTCTCTTCCAAGTAAGGAAGTTACTCCTTTGCCAAAAAAAAAAAAAAATTGTTGTTCAGAAGACATGTGAATTTGGGTCCCAGCAAGGTCCGTGAAGGGCTGTCAGCCTGCTTGGCTGTCTTCTGGAGCACAGGCTGGCAAGCATGCACTCCATTTCTTCCAAGCTCTGCTTTCAGCAGTGGAGGCCTCCTCTAGAAGATTCTGTTTCTTTTTTTTTAACCCACCATTCCATCTCTCCAAGAACACCCTCTACTGTCACTGTGTTGTCAGTGTTCCAGATGTCTGCAAGGCTCTTGGGATGCAGAGAGGTGCCTGGAGTCCTTGACATCTTTGTTTGCCATCCAAACTTACAAAGCTTCTTCCCCCACTATGCCACATCTGGTACACCATAGCTGATTTTCTCTTGGTGTCTCCATTCTGCCACCGAGTCTCATTGATTGTATTCTTTGTGCTTCCTCTTCTCTAATATTCTCTCTCTCTCTCTCTCTCTCTCTCTCTCTCTCTCTCTCTCTCTCTCTCTCTCTCTCTCTCTCTCTCTCTGCATTCATGAGTGTGTGCAGGTCTGTCTGTGTGCATCTGTGCAGAGTCCAGAGGACATCCTTGAGTATCTTGAGTGTCACTGTTTCAATGTCTGTCCACCTTCATTTCTGAGAGAGGGTCTCTCACTAGCCTGGAGCTTGCTAAGTAGGCCAGGTTGCCTAGCTAGCAACACAGGGATCCACCTGCCTCTGTCTCCTAGAGCTGGGATGGAAAATGCATGGTATCACACCTAGCTTATTATTATTTTTTTAACATAGATTCTAGGATTGAACTCAGCTCCTCATGCTTGCAAGGCAAGTGGTTTCCTGCCTTAACCATGTCTACAACCATGATTTATGTCTCCTGAGATCAAGAATGAAGTCTCAGACCTTCATACTCTGAAGCACTAAGTGTGGTACCCCGTGAAGGCAATGGGCAATGAAAAAGGAGCATCGGGGAGATAGTTTTGTTCTAGTAATTCACCTCACCACCTATTGTGATAGTTAATCTTGCTTGTCAACTTCATTGGATATGGAACCAACTAAGAGACACACCTCTGGGTGGGTCTGTGAGGGAAGAATAACAGAGAGGAGACCCTTCCCTAGAGTGTGTGGCATATCCCTGTGGTAGCCCATACATAAAGAAGTCCCAGGGAAAATTGGTGCTGCTTGACCTGCCGGCCTTCCTATTTTGCTCTTGAGTTCATTTGTCCTATTATTGCAGCTGCCTCTACTGCTGCCCATCCTGGACACTGGAACTCAACTTCTTTGGCCTTCCAACAGGGACTAAAGACTAATGGCTCTCTAGGAATCCTCTAGGCCATCAGTGTCTGACTGACATCCCTGACATATCCACTCTTGTAGACTTAGCATCTACTGGGCTCTCCTGTTTGCAGGCAACCACTGTTGAACTACCCAGCCTTTACTATGTAAGGCAATCTAATAATCCCTCATATATGTATATATATGTGTGTGTGTGTGTGTGTGTGTGTGTGTGTGTGTGTGTATACCACACACACAGATGTAAGTTTTTCTCTGTCCTGCCTGGCCCCCATGGTCTCACAGCCACTTATAAAATAATCACTCAGAGGCTTAATATTAATTATAAACTGTTTGATCTATGACTCAGGCTATTATTAACTAACTCTTTTATCTTAAACTAGTCCATTCCTATTAATCTGTGTATCACCACATGTCTCATGGCTTACCTGTATTCTACTACATCTTGCTCCCCCTCCCCCTGAAGTCTGTAGCATCTCCTCCAACCCCATCTTTCTTCTACCTGTATCTCCCTTGGATTTCCTGCCTGGCTGTCTCCTGTCTTACCATAGGCCAAAACAGCTTCTTTGTTAACCAGTGGTAGCAACACATATTCACAGTGTACAGAAAGACCATCCCACAGCACTTCCCCTTTTTTGTCTAAACAAAATTAAAATCATTTCACATACAATTATTCTATCAGTTCTGTTCCTCTAGAGAACCCTGACTGTTTTCTTAGTGCCAATTCTGCTACAGCCTGAAAAGGTAAGCTAAGTGGAT